CACCCGAGTTCGATTCCCACCAAGGCCAAATCTCTTTTGATTTTTTTTACCAAGCCAGACATTGCTAAAAGTTTCAAAAAATCTATATTGGAAAGTTGATTTTCGAAAAATCGGTCCCTTCCTTTTTCAACCTTTTTTTAAATTCCCGCCAAACCATTTCTCCACTCAGGACCACTAACTTTATAAATATCTAAAACCCCTAATAAAAATCTCGACTATTTCCTATACTCCCCATTTTTTATACCCTCAATTATACCCATTTTTGGTCATGTCCAAAAATTTTTTTCCTCTTTTTTTCCTTTTTTTGCTCTTTTCAAAAAAAAAGGAAAAAAAGTTTTTTTGAATGGGACCAACTTTTTTCCCTTCATCTTCGTGGGAATTGGTGCATGACTCGCACCGCCCGCAGCTTAAATTTTTAATGAGCTCAACCTAACTAATGCAAATGCGCTCTATTGAACAAGCGCTTTTAAATTTTTCTGAAACATGCAAACGCGCCCCATTGAACAGACTCACCTAAACGAATTAAACGCCAAATTTAGCACTCTCAACGAGACTAAATTTCTGGGAATTATCAATTTGGTTAAGGAATTTCTAGAAACATCCAGCTCCTTTAATTGCTCGAAAACTGAAAGAGCCTCGAATTCCAGCTTCTCCAGCTGACACTGATCGAGACGCAGAGATTGCAGACGGCGGTAGTCGGGCGGGAAATTTGAAATTCGAAAAATCGAATTATTTGAGACGGATAGAGAGAGGACGTTGGGCAGAAGTGGTGGAGGCTCTTGTAGGGATAGAGAACTGCAGTCCTGGAAGCAAAGAAAATGAAAAATTCGGTTAAAAATAGTGCTGAAAATTTCGGATATTTTCAGAAAACCACTTTCCAATGGAGATTTTTTGAAAATTTTAACGTTAAATAGCTTGGTAAACAAAACAAAAGAAATTGAGACTTGTTGGGAATCGAACCCGGGCCTTGGGATTGGTAGTCTAGGTTGCTAGCCACTAGGCCAAAGGTGCCACAAAGGGAGATGATGGCGGTGGTGGCGCCCTCCTCTCCCGCCGCCGCCGGACGCCGCTGCGCACTCTTTTTTACCGACTCTCCGTGCCGCGGCGATCCGCCGCCCAGATGGTCTAGTGGCTAGCAAGCTAGACTACCAGTCTCAACACCCCGGTTCGATTCCTACCAAACGAAGTTGTCTTTTGATTTTTATGCTTTACGACCTAGTCCAAAAATTTTCGCGAAATTCCTCGGGGAAAGTGTTTTTCCAAAGTTTGCATGTTGAATAGAACACATTTGCATACCTGTGATGGCCGATTGGATACCCAGAAACTTTTGCATGTTTTGAGTGCGGTGGAGCAAAAAATTGGATGGAAAAAGAGGAAGATGGCAAGAAATCGGAGGAGCACGTCTTCTCGCATTTCGAATCATCCAAAATGATACATCTGGAGATTCTGGAAAAAAAAAGATGAAAAGAGAAAAAGAGGGAGAGATAGGATTCATGGATGAGTAGGTCGAGAGTGAAACATTTGGTGGGAAAATTGGGAAAATTAGGTTGGAATGGTTTTTGGCAGAAAAACTAGGCCAGTTGGGGATTTCCTAGGCCACCAAAATTGTATAAAAATGTTCATGCTGACACACACACACAAACAACCGGAAATCAAATTTTACGCGAATTTTCATGTTTTGGAATGGCTTGGGACCCAAACAATATTTTCCCAAAATTTTCAAAAATTTTTTTCAAAAACTTTGCAGAACCTTCAAAAACCATTCATAAATATATTTATACTTTTCAAACTGCTCCAAAGAGCCAGAAAATTAATAAAAGCATCCGAAAATCTTTTGAAAATGTTGAAGAACAATGAAAAGTGTGGTGAAGTGGTTCCCAAAATCTCCGAAACAGAAGAACCAGAATATTGAATATACTCATAGTCATACACACAATGGGAAACGGGACCCCCTTTTCCTCCTTCCCCAACAAAGGGTGGTGCACTTAAAGTGGGCGGGGCTTAGGGTGAGCAATGAGGAGGGGGGAGGGGATTTAAATATTATGATGGGGTGCTGTGATGCTTATCTAATGATGATTGATGACAGCTTTACTAATTATACCCGGAAAAACAGTTTTCCGATGGAATTTCGCAGAAATTTTTGTATTATCTTGTAAAGCGAAAAAATCGAAAGAAAATAGCACTTGATTGGAATTGAACTCGGGTAGTGAGATTGATAGGCGAGGTTGTTAACCAGTAGGCAAAACGTGCGGCGAGGCGCCGCGCGTGGGAGAGTCGGTAGATGACAGTGAGGAGTGGTGGGCGAGAAGAAAACGAAGACGGCAGGCAAGAAACAGGTGAAGTGGCGCCGCTGGCGCCATGGCCTAGTGGATAACAATCTAGACTACCAATCTCAACATCCGGTTTCGATTCCCAGCAGGGCCAAATTGATCCAGTTTGTTTTTGCTTATATTTTAATAGGTTGCAAATAATTTTTGACACATTTTAAGCAGAAAAAAGCAATTTATATATGGCATTTTAGACAACTCTGACAAAGAAAAAATCGAAAAAATCAATAAATTAGATGGCTCCAGCCTCTTGGAGAAGTTTCGCGAGTTTTCCGTTTTTGGCGGCAGCCGCGGTGTCGTCACCTCCACCGAAGAATTTTCCGTTGATGAAGACACGTGGGACCGAGCGAGCTCCGGTGAGAGACTGAAAAGTGGAAGAGGTTTTCTGGTGTGGCCTAGAAAAATCCCACTTACTCCAAGATAGTTCTGGATCTCATCACAATCCTTGCGATCGTCGATTTCGATCCATTGAAGAGCGTCCGGCTTGACGTTGACCGAGTCCAAAGCAGCGCGAGCCTAAAATATTAAGCTCCGCCCATTTTTTTTCAATTTTGTGGCGCGGTTTTCGAATTTTTTACAAATTTTTAGTAATTTTTTCGAATTTTCAGAAAAATTTTTTGAATTTTTCGAAAAAAATTTTTTTTCAAATTTTCAGTAAAAACTCACCTTATGACAGTAGGGACAGTACGATTTACTGAACACCACCACTTTGTGCGATTGGAGGAGTCCGTCGACGAATGCCTTTGACATTTTTTTTAGATTCTGAAATTTTTTATACATTTTCAGAAGTTTTTATGCGCAACGGAACGAGAAGAAAAAGAGAAATAGAGCAAAAAAAGTATTTGAAAAAGTTCGATAGAGCGAGGTTGATTCAAGGGGAAATTTGAAAGAGCAAATGGAAAAATTCAATTTTTTAGGAATTTTCAGATAATTTTCTGTTTTAAACGAAAATTCCACAACTTTTGTAGATTTCAGATCCGATTTGACTCAAAAAATAGTCGAAAAAAAGTGGAAATTGACTAAAAACGGCAGAAAATTCATTTTTCTCCGGTGGCCGAAAAATTGAGTTTCCTCGGCCACACTCCTGGTGTAGTCCTCTCGGAAAACGAATTTCGAAAATAAATTTCTAGAATTTTCAGGTTAAAAAAACCTCTCATTTTCATAGAATTCTCAAGGAAAAAATGGGAAAAATAAATAAAAAAAGAGAGGCGGGAAAGTAAGAATCAAGTAATATCAGCCGATTTTCATAAGGAATTGTCTGGAAAGAGGCTGAAAAATAAATAATATTTTCGTTTACAAAAATGCTGTGTGATTGAAATGATAACTATTTGTAGTGGTATTTGTAGTGGCCGCCGGTGCGCATCTGCGGCGAGAGGAAATGAGAGAGTGTGTAAAACCGAGAGGCGGGTTAGAGAAAGAAAGAAAAACAAATGAGGAAAAAATGACGAAATTTCAAAAATCAGCCAAGTCATTTATCCTCGTCGCTCTTCGATTCTTCTCCTCTCAACGTCGCCATAATCTTCTTGAAAATGCCACGTGGCTTCTCCTCCTCCTTCGCTTCGAACGGAACGATTCCGACGGCGAACGCCTCCAAAGTGGGCGTCGTATGCGGAATCCAGACGCCAGACGCGTCGCGGCGAGATATGATTGGGGTGCCGATGAGTTGGTGGATGGATTCGCCCTGGAATATGGATTTTGAAGGTGTGGGAAGGATTCTGGAAGGTGCTGGAAGGTTCTGGAAGCTTCTTGAAACTCCTAGAGATCTTCAGAGGGGCCCAGAAGACGACGCAAGCTTCAAAAGTCCCCAGTAAACTGTTGGAAGATTTTAGAACAGTCCAGGAAGCTCTAGAAGCTCCTAAAACATCTTAGAAAGCCTCCCAAGGATCCAGAAGACGTCACTGGCTTCAAAAAGCCCCAAAAGCTTTCTGAAGGTTCTAGAAAGCTTTGGAAGGCTCTAGAAGATTCTGGAGAGCTTCAGAAGGCTTCAGAATCCGTTTTTTTTCTACATAATTCCAAAAATCTTACCAATTTCTCTGTGCCTTCTCCAGCCACCACGACGTCTTCAGAAGTCTCCAGAATCACCACAGATTCCTCCTTCACCTCCTCGACGACAATCACAGAATCGTCGGCGACGTCTTCTGAATCCTTCTCGGCTGCTTCCTGTCGCTTCAGACGTTCGAGGTCACAACGACGTCTGCTCTCCTCCCATTCGTGTCTCGATTTCGCGTCCTGAACCTAGTCAAGAATTGAGAGAGTGCGGTGGCCTAGGATTTTCAAGATTTGGGATTCTAGGCCATTTTGGACAATTTTCGCCAATTTTGAACTTATCTAGATCAACTTAAGATTTTATGTGAAAAGTTCAGTTTTTAAGTGATTTTGAAGAGCGTGGCCTAGGATATTCGATGATATTTGGGTTTCTAGGCCATGACCAATTTGAGGGCATTTTTGTGAATTCTAGATAATTCTGTGCCATTTTAGACTCTTTCTAGACCATTTTAGGTAAAAATCCGGCTAGAAGACAATTTTGAAGAGCGTGGCCTAGGATTTTTGCTGTTTTCGGGTTCTAGGCCATTCTAGACCATTCTAAACTATTCCAGATCGTTCTAGACCAATTTTGACTATTCTAGACCGCTCTCTGAGCCAATCTAGGTCATTTCCTGGTCCAAACCGAAATCCCTACCTCTTGCAACATCTCCACAAACTCCTTCATCGGTGGAATCGAGAACATTCCCTTCTCACGATCATTCAACGCCCCGTAGCTCTTGTTGAATCCCAAATAGGTGACAATTTTGGATTCCTGGACTATGGGCATGGGACATGACTGCTGCTCCATCTCTTCTTCTTTCGAATCCCCCGAGAATATTTTCAGCGTTCCGTACTCGTGTTTCAGCGACTCTCTGAGGTATCCCGGTGGATATCCTTTCCGAAATCCCATCCGTCTCATTCGATAGATCCATTCCGGGAGGTCGTCGGATCCCAATCCCAGAGCGTCTCTCAACGCTATCGATATCTTTCCGGCCTTGAATTTCGACTCTTTCGCCGCGCCTCCGGCGGTCTCCTTGGAAATTCTGGCGCCACCTGTGTTCCCCTGCTGTAACGCCTGAAATTCCTGCTTGTTTTTTCGAATTTCCGCGAAATTCTTCGGGTGCGGACAGTCGGCAATCGAGTGCTCTTCACGGCAATTGAAGCACAGGTTCTGGCGACGGGGACGTTTTGAAACTGGCTCCGTGCTCGGGGATTGCGGTTCCTGGAAAGATGAACAAGTTTCTAGATTATTCAGAAGACGTCAGGGCCGTCTGGGAGCTTCTAGAAGTGCCAGGAGCGTTCCAGAAGACGCCAGAGAGAATTTAGAAGACGTCAAAGAGCGACTGAAGTGTTAAGACGCTTTTCAGGCATTCAGAAGGTGTATCAGACTTCAGAATGCTCCAGAAATTTTCAAAAAAAACTATAGAAAGATTCAGAAGACGTCACAGAGCCTTCAGATGACGTCAGTAGCTTCGAAATGCTCCAGAATGCTCGAGAAAACTCTAAAAATTCAAAAAACGTCGTAAAGTCTCCTAGAGGCTTCTAGAAGATTCTTATTCGAATTCTAAGATTTTGGAATATAGAAATTTCCAAGAAATCCAGAAAATTCAAATTTCGAGATTTCGAGATTTCCAGAATTCCAGAAAAATTCGGAATCTCAAATATTCAGATTTCTAGAATTTCAAGAATACAGAAGCGCCTTCAGAAGACGTCAGCAACACCAAAAATGCTCCAGGAGGCTCTAGAAAGCTCTAGAAACGTCCAGAAGCCATCATAGAGTTTTCTAGAAGCTTCACGACCATCCAGAAGACGTCTGTTACTTCAGAATCGTTTACAATGCTCACTCCAGAAGACGTTCTAGAAGAATCTGTAGACGTCAAAAACTTGTTTCTATGAATCCAGGCAATTGGAGAAGCTCAGAACCTCCATTTTTTAATTTTCAAAATTTCCAGAATCTCGAGAATTTTGAGAATCCCAAAATTTCTGGATTTCCAGAGTCCCCAAAAATCTATATTCCGCGTCACCTACCGATTCCTCCAACAATCTCTTCCTCATCTTTTTCGCCCATTCACTGGGTGTTCCAGACAGCGACGACGCCATCGAGATGTCTTTTACTGCTTCAGAATCACCAGTCACGTTTGCAGCAGCATCATCGTCTGCCACGTCTTCTGAATTCTCAATGACCTCCAAGAAGCTTCTATCAACGACGAATCCATCATCATCATCATCGTCGGCGGCAGGAGCCGCTGATTTCGGAGAATTCGAGATTTCACCGTCTTCTAGCATTCTGAAAAACCAAACGAATTCAGATTTTTAGATTTCCTGAATATCGAGAATTCTAAAAGTTTCCAATTGCAAAGATTTTGAAATTTCGCAAATTCAGAATTCAAAAAATTCAAAAAAGCCTTCAGAAGACGTCAGTGGCTTCAAAATGGTTGGAGGGCTTTAGAAAGCGCTAGAAATGTCCAGAAGACGTCACAGTGCCTTCTAGAGAGGGTTCAGGAGCCTTCAGAAGACGTCAATGGCTCTAAAAGGCCCCAGAAGCCTTCAGAAGACGTCAACGGCTCTAAAAAGCTCCTGAAGGCTCTAAAAGGCTTTAGGAGCCTTCAGAAGACGTCAATGGCTCTAAAAAGCTCCTGAAGGCTCTAAAAGGCTCCAGAAGCCTTCAGAAGACGTTAATGACTCTAAAGAGCTCCTGAAGGCTCCAGAATCCTTCAGACGACGTATCAGACTTCTCAATGCTCCAGGAATTTTCAAAAAACTATAGAAACATTCAGAAGACGTCACAGAGCCTTCTAGAGAGGGTTCAGGAGCCTTCAGAAGACGTCAATGGCTCTAAAAGGCTTCAGAATGCTCCAGACGGCTTTAGATTCAGAATTTGATGAAAAAAGGGCGAGAGAATTTTAAAAATTGGGCAAAAAAGTTCAAATTATCAAACGAAACACCAGAAATTTGGGTTTAAAAATTCTGAAAATTTGGAAAAAAAAACGATATTTCAGAGTTAAAAACTCCAATTTTCAGTGGAAAAAAAGACGAAAAAAGTTGAGAAAATAGATCAAAAAATATGTTTTTTTTTCTGGAAAAATCACAAGATCATAAAAGGTAAAAAGAGAACAAAATATCGAAAAAATGACCCGGAAAACCCGTAATTTGAAAGAAAAAATATTGAAAGTTGAAAAAAAAATTCAAAGAGGCTGTTCCAGTTGGACGAATTCCTTGTTGGTGGAGCGAAGTTTCGAGAGAAGGGCCTGGAAAAAAATTCTTGATTTCAAAAATTTGAAATTGGGACTGAAAAACCGAAAAAAAATGTGGAAAAGTTGAGAAAAAATGGCGAAAATAGCAGAAAAAAATTGAATTTTTTTTGTCAAATTTCTAATATTTTTTTCGTTTTGAACATTGATTTTTTCCTCGATTTTTTAGCAAAATTTTTAGACTTTTTTGAAAAGAAAGGCTGAAAATGGCCGGAATTAGCTGAAATTTGTGAACGTTTGAAAATTTTTCAATTCTGAAATCCTAAAAAGAATGACTCTGGAAATTCGAGGACTTTGAGACCCAGGATTTTCGAAATCAAATTTTCAAAAAAAATGCAGGTTTCCAATTTCTAGTTTCGAAATTGATGTTCGGTGTTTGCGTACTTTTGCAGCTACCGTAATCGGGGAACTAGTGATTTTTTTTGGTTTCAGAGACATTTCAGCCCGTTTTCGACATCAGAAATGAGCTCAAAATCAATTTTTTAGTCTAAAAACTCGAAAACTAGAGGTTTCTAGCTCATTCGGTGTTTGCGTACTTTCCAACCTACAGTAACCCAAAAAATCTCGAAAATTGTCAAAATAACGCTAGAAACTTGTAGTTTTCAGTTTCTGGACCCAAATTCTGCGGAAAATTCTAATCTGGTGCCAAAATCGGTCCTACAGCATACCTTAATATCCTTTTGGTTTTGTCTTTGATTTTTTGCAAAATTTTTAGACCTTTTTTAGATTTTTCAGGTATTTTTGAAGATTTTTTTTTGATTTTTTCGAATTTTTTGTCGGAAGATTACTGTAGAAATTTCATTTTCTTGGATACTGTAGTTTTTTCCAAACAAAATCACGTCAAAAAGTGATTTTTTTGTCTGCAAAAAAGTACCGTATACAAGAAAATGAGAATTCTACAGTAATCTACAGTAACCCAAAACACCGTTCTATCAAATTTCAGACAAAAAAACCGAAAAAATCGATAAAGAGTTTTCAAAAATAGCTGAAAAACCGAAAAAGGTCTAAAACCTTCGCAAAAAATCGGAGAAAAAACCAAAAGGATATTAAGGTATACTGTAGGACAGATTTTGGGGCCAGATTTGAATTTCCCACAAAATTTGGGTTCAGAAACTGAAAACTAGAAGTTTCTAGCGTTATTTTGACAATTTTCGAGATTTTTCGGGATACTGTAGGTTGGAAAGTACGCAAACACCGAATGAGCCAGAAACCTCTAGTTTTCAAGTTTCTGAGACCGTACGAATCACTAAATACACCCAAAAGCGGGAGACACGAAAGCTTGAGACGAAAGGGGAGAAAGTACGCAATTGCTTACCGTAATCCACCGTTCCGTTGTAAAAAATTAGACTATTTTTCAGTAAATTTGTGAATAAAATACCCGAGACAAATGAAAATATGTTTTTAAAAATTTTGAGACCTTTTTTATGCTCCTGAACATCATTTTCGGCCGTTTGGTTACTCTCGGTTTGGGAATTAACGGTGGTACGGTAAGCAATTTCGTCTCCCGCTTTCGTGTCTCCCGCTTTTGGGTGTCTCCCCGATTCGTACGGTCTCAAGTTTCTAGACTAAAAAATTGATTTTGAGCTCATTTCTGATGTCAAAAACATACTGAAATGGTTCTGAAGCCAAAAAAATCAAAAATTCGAAAATTTTCAGCCAATTCCGACCATTTTCAGCCACTTTTTTTTTCAAAACTTTCAGATTTTCCGATAAAAAAAACCCCATTTTTCACCTGATTCTGATTCAAAACCTCCATCAATTCCTTCAAAAATTCCGAATCCATCGTTTTCGCAGTGCTTAAAATCGTCCAAATTTTCCTCGAAACAAAGAGCCAATTCCATTTTTCGGTCCACATCAATACATAGCCTCGCATCGTTTTTAGCGAAATTGTTTGCAAAATTTCAAAATTTTGAATAATTTCGTTTTCCCGCCGCCCAACCTTCTTCAAATAATCATCGATAATCGTTGAAATCTGACAGAATGGCGCTTTTCCGTTCGTATCGCCCGATCTTTGAAGTTCCGCCGCCAGTTTTTCGAATAAAATCGCCGAAATTTGCAGAATTCGCTCCTTTTTCTGCAAATTCTCGGGATTTTCATCGTAAATTTCCTTTAAAAATCCAATTTCGAGACTTCCTGGAAATCGATTTTCGCGGATTTTTTCAATAATTTCTTCTAGAATTTTCAGTGGATTTGAATTGGAAATCGGAGGAGAAGCGGTGATTTTTGAGAGGAGTTGTTGGAGGAGACAAGTGATTTGGGATTCTGGAAAATTGAAAAAATTTCAGAAATTAAAAACTAAATCTGAAAATTCAGATTTTTGAAAATTTTTGAAATTCGGAGAAATTAGGAAAATGGGAAATTGAGAATTCGATGGATTTCAAAATTTTTAAAAATTCCATAATTTTGGAAATTAGGAATTTTTGGAATTCTCATATATTTCAAATTTCAGAAATTTTAAGATTTTCAGAAATTTCAGAAATTTCTAGAAATTACACCAAATGAAATTTTCAAGAAGATTTTTGAAATCTGAAATTCGACATTTCTGGAAATTTTGAAAATTCGCAAAAAAATTATTTTAGGAATTTTTTGTAAAAACAAATTAGCAAAAGTTCGGCCACCACTTCAAAATGACCTAGAAAACAGACCAGAGTCGTGTTAGGCCATTTCTAGGCCATTTTGAAGTGGCCGCCTAGAAAACGTAACTAGCAAAAGTTAGTCCACCATGTAAAAATGGCCCAGAAATCACAACAAATGAATATCAGGTCATTTTTTGGCAAAAAAAAAGTTGGTGGCCTTGAAATCTCTGTTTGCAAAAGCTCGGCCACCACTTCAAAACGGCTTAGAAATGACCCGATATTCATTTGGTGTGATTTCTAGACCATTTTGACGTGGTGGCCTAACTTTCGCAAAGTGAGTTTTCTAGGCAACCAACTTTTTTGGCATAAAATTTACCGGTTATTCATTTGGTAAATTTCTGGGCCATTTTCGCTTGATGGCCTAACTTTGCAAATGTTTGTTTTCTAGGCCACCACTTCAAAATGGTTTAGAAATGACCTGGTATTCATTTGGTGTAATTTTTAGGCCATTTTGAAGTGGTGGCCTAAGTTTTGCTAAATTACAAAAAATTCAAAAAAAAAATGTTTTGCGAATTTTTTGTGAAATTTCCAGAAATGTCGAATTTCAGGTTTCAAAAAATCTTGAAATTTTCGAATTTTTTAGATCTTCATAAATGTAAAAAAAAACGTTGAAAATTCACTGAATTCTGCGTAATTTGAAAATTTCCAAAAGTCCGAAATTTCAATTTTCAGCACTTTTTTGGAATTTCTGAAAATTCGAGATTTTGAAAATCCTGAAATTTGATGAAAATCTGAAAAAAATTTCTAGAAAATTTGAATTTTTAGAATTTTCAAAAAAAAAAACTCCAAAACTAAAAATTACCATTCCCCTCAAAAATCGCTGAAAATCCAAAAATCAGCGTAGAAACCAATGAAATCGTCGTCGTCGGCGGCATCAATCTCCATTGCTCATCGTTAAAATCAAACAAGATTTTCGGGAATTTCAGCAAGACCAGCTCCAATTTTTTCGTCGATTTCTCTTCGAAATTCTTCAAAATTTTGCGAAAAATCTGCTCAATTTTCGTCTGAATCGATTTTCGATCCTGTCGATTTATGAGCATTTTCAGTTGATTTTCAATAAAAATCATCGAATTCTCATCGATTTTTTCGAGTAGAATCCTCCAAAATGTATCAGAAGTGATCGAAAAATTCAAATCATCCTTCAATTTGTCGATTAAAATCGAAAATTCCGAATTGCAAAACGATTTTTTGGCTAGGAATTGATTGATTTCAGCGTTTGAAAAGTTCTGAAAATGGTCCAAAACGATTTCCAGCTCTTCGGATTCGTCTAGAAGCAGACGATTCTTCGGATGATTCTCTTTGAAATATTGATTGATCGAGGGGGCGGAGTCACCGAGGCTTTCCATGATTTCCAGAAGGATTAGAATAGTTTTCTAGAAAAAATATTGGAATTTTAGAAAATCGAAAAATCGAAAATTCAAAAAAATCTGGAAATCGAAAAAATGGAAAAATGGAAAATTCAGGAATTCAGGAATTTCAGAAATTCAGAAATGCAGAAATTCAAAAATTCAGAAAATACAGAAATTTAAAAATTTAGAATTCCAAAACATCAAAATTTCAGAAATACAGAATTCCAGAAATTCAGAATTCCAGAAATTCAGAAATTCAGAAATTCGGGAATTCGGGAATTCAGAAATTCGGGAATTCAGAAATTCAGAAATCCAGAAATTCAGAAATTCAGTAAATCAGAAATTCAAAAATTCAGAATTCCAGAAAATCAAAATTTCAGAAATACAGAATTTCAGAATTCCAGAAATTCAGAAATTCGGAAATTTCTAAAAAATCGAAAATTTGAAATTTTAGATATTCAAAATTTTAAAATTTCCGAAAATTTCTGAAAACGAAATTTTAATTTTTTATTTCAAAAATCTGAAAAAATCAAAATTTCAGAATTCAGAATTTTCGAAAAATGCTGAAAATTCGAAAATTCTGAAATTACGTAAATCTGAAACCTCTGAAAAATTAAAAACATTCAAATTTTCTGAAAATCGAAGAATCTGAAAAATCAAAAAAAAATTTTTTTGAAAATTATTTTTCTGGAATTTTCTGAAAATCGAAAATTCAGATTTTTCAAAAATCCCAAAACTTCCCCCATTGCTCACCTTAATTTCACTATTCTCAGAATTCTGGTGGTACTGTAGTTCCAGAAACTCCACTAGACACCCGATCAGTGATTGATCTGAGAAATTCAAATTTTTGAATTCCCGCCAAAATGCAAATTCGCTCTAACGCACCATTTCTATAAATCAAGCTCAGAAAATAAAGAAAAACGATTGGCGCTTGTGGATTGCTCATCTTAAACGAATCCAGCCGATTTTTCAGTGCCGCCCATGATTTTTCCCATATTTCGAATTCTGCAAAAAATTGGATTTTTAAGAACGGAAATGCAAACGCGCTCCATTGGAAAATCCCTGAAAATCGCTCAAAAATCGTCCAATTTTCACCGTTTAAAGCGATACTGGGATTCTCAGTAGAGCGCACTTGCCACATCGAAAAAAAACCTTGAAAAATGCGATTCAAAAATTGCAATGGAGCGAATGAGATAGTGGCTTGTTCAGCATACGAATACTTTTCATTGATCACCAATTCCACCATTTTGTGAACAGAATTTCGAGATAAATTCAAAATTTTCGAACCTCCCGCCGATAAAATTATCGAATCAAAAATTTTGGGTAGGAGTTTACTTTTGACGGCGTTATCCATGACTGACGACTTCTGAAATCTCGAATTTTTTGAATATAAAAATGCATACGCGCTCTATTGGAAAATTTATGAAAATCGCTCGAAAATTGATTAATTTTCACTATTTTAAAGCAAATTTTAAGGTAATTCTCAATGGAGCGCCCTTGCATTTTTTTTTAAATTTAGAATTTTTCGAAAAATGCAAATGCGCTCCATTGGGAAATTCTTGAAAATCGCTTAAAAATCGTCCGATTTTCACTACTATAAAGCAAATTTCAAAGGAATTCTCAATGGAGCGCCCTTGCATTTTTATTTAGAAATTTATAAAAATTCGCAAATTTTTAAAACTAAAAATGCAAATGCGCTCCATTGGAAAATCATTGAAAATCGCTCGAAAATCGTTTATTTTATACTGTTTTTAACGAATTTTAAAAGGATTCTCAATGGAGCGCCTTTGCATTTTTTAAAGAATTTTGAATTTTTCGAAAAAAAAAAGTAAATGCGCTCTATTGGAAAATTCATGAAAATCGCTCAAGAATCGTCCAATTTTTACTATTTTTAATGAATTTTTTTGGGAATTCTCAATGGAGCGCATTTGCATTTTTGAAGAATTTCGATTTTTTTGAAAAATTTTGCAAATACGCTCCAGTGGAAAATTTTTGAAAATCGCTCAAAAACGTCAAATTTTCACTATTTTAAAGCAATTTTCAATGGAGCGCCCTTGCATTTTTTTTCGAATTTTTCTATATCAAAAATGCAAATTCGCTCCATTGGAAAACCCTTGAAAATCACTTGCAAATCGTTCAATTTTTACAATTCTAAAGCAAATTTTGAGGGAATTCTCAATCGAGCGCCCTTGCATTTTTTAAGAAATTTGAATTTTTCGAAAAAAATGCAAATGCGCTCCACTGGAAAGCCCTGGAAAATCACTTGAAAATCGTCTAATTTTTACTATTTTAAAGCAATTTTTAAGGGAATTCTCAATGGAGCGCTGTTGCATTTTTTGAAGCATTTTGAATTTTTCGAAAAAAAAATGCAAATGCGCTCCACTGGAGAACCCTGGAAAATCACTTGAAAATCGTCCAATTTTCAATACTTTAAAACAAATTTTCAGGTGATTCTCAATAGAGCGCAATTGCCATACCTTCTTGCCATCTCCTTTCATGGTCCCCATCAAATAGTACAGCTTTCCACATGCTTTTGGGACGTCTTCTAGTTTTAATTCTGACAGTAATCCAATCAGCTGAATGACACGTGGCAACTGTTTCTCATCGGTTTTATCGATAACAGAGCACATTTGCAGCTCGCCGAGCAGCTCAATGTAGTACTCGTAGTATTCGATGGGGCGAATTTGCTGCATTTCGAGGAACAGTCCTGAAGATTACTCATTTTTGTAGCATTTTTTGAAAATTTTCTATTTTGGCAAGCGCGCTCTACTGAGAATTCTCTTAAAACCCGCTTAAAAACGGCGAAAATTGGACGAGTTTTGAGCGATTTTCGCGGATTTTTCAATGGAGCGCATTTGCACTTTCGGCGGGAATTCAATTTCAAAAAATTCCGCGAAATTTGAAATATTCAAATTTTCTCACTTTTGACAACTGGATCCAAATCTGCCAATTTCCCGGTAATCAACGAGTTTAGGGCTCCAATTAGGCGGGTATTCGAATTTTCCGTGTAAAGCTCGATGTACATTTTTTGGACACATCCACAGGGGAAACACTGGAAGATTCTAGAATTTTTGGGTCAAAAATGGCAAATTTGACCAATTTTGGGTCAAAAAAGGGCATTTTTTGGTCAAAAATGACCAATTTTCGAATCAAAAATGATTAATTTTGGGTCAAAAATGACCGATTTTGGGTCAAAAAGTGGCGAAATTCGGACAGAATTATCAATTTTGGACCAAAAATGGCCAATTTGGGTCAAAAATAACCAATTTTAGATCAAGAATGACTAATTTTGGGTCAAAAATGACTAATTTTGGGTCAAAAATGACTAATTTCGGGTCAAAAATGACTAATTTTGGGTCAAAAATGACTAATTTTGGGTCAAAAATGACTAATTTTGTGTCAAAAGTGACCAATTTTAGGTCAAAAATAACTAATTTTGAGTCAAAAATGGCCAATTTTACGCTCAGAATCTCAAAATGTCACCTCCAATTTCGCTTTTCGACTTCGGCACAAAAAATACAATTTCAAAATCGCGTAGGCTTTTTTCGAGATGTTTTCACTCGAAAATCGACGGTCTCCCGTATCCAACCACTTTAGAATTATATGAGAATCAATCTGAAATTTTGAAATTTTGAAAATTTTTTAAATTTCAAAAAAAAAAATTTTTTCAAAAATTAATTTTTGCTGAAAAACTCACAATTTTATCATTTCCAGACCATTTTTACTCGAAAAAATCGATTTTTCAGCTCTAAAAACCCCCTGAAAATCACCTTTCTCCTAGTTTCCTCTCTTAGAATTTGGGTCAACAGAAATTCGAACATTTTGTCAATGGTTTTTTCTGGACTATTTTTGCGATTTTTCATGGTTTTCAGCACTAGAAGCGTTTCAGAAAAGTTAGATTCCATGTGGATTTCTCGGCTCAGCGATGAGAGCAAGAGGGAGTAGTCAGAAGGGATGGAAAGCTGAAAATTTGGGAATTTTTAGAAATTTGCCTCATGAATTACTCTTTCTGGATTTTTCCAAATTTTCGGAAGCGCGGAGAACTCTTCCAGCGCCCCATCCTCAGTTTCTCCAGCGAATTTCTCGTCTCGAACATCATTTATTACTGAAAATTGCGAAATTTCAATTTTCCCAGCCTATTCACCTACCTGGAATGCACTGTTTGGGTTCGTAACTTTTGCGACCCGTCATTTTTTGAAAATTGCCTAGAAAATCTAGAAAATTCGAGTGAAAATCCAGAATTTCAGCCGGAAAACCGGCGAAAAATCAATTCAAAGTGCGCGGGTACCGCTGGCCGCCGAGGCCGTGGCCTAGAAACCTCCGCGCGAACCGCGAGCGAAATTCGAATCTTGCTGGCCTAATTTGCGCGTTTCCTCTCGATTTTCACCGATTTCTTTGATTTTTCGGCGATCTACGCGAAGATTATGCAAATTGTGACCTAGTTTAGTCAAAGAAATCGATGATTTTAGGTGGGAAACTTTGATTTTTGAATTTTCACCTATTTCCTCGTAAATCTCTTTTTGCCACTGTCTCCGATAGAGTTTGAATCATTTCAGAAGCACAAAATTGGCTCTACTAGCGGTAGAAGAACTCGAAAATGTCCAGAAGGTAAACATTTCGAATTTTCAGCCAATTTTTCAAAAAATCCATTTTCAGACACAGCGTCGTCGACGCCTACGCGGTTGTCGACGCCAAAATCCGCGACACAATGAACCAGTTGTCGAATCTATGGGATGAGGTCGATATGAAGGACTCGATGCGCTGTAATCGGGTCGAGAAGGCGTTCGCACATATTACCCAGCTGTGCGATGATATGGTAAGGGAATTTGTGGGTTTTGGGGGGTTTTAGAGGCGTCCAGTGGGTTCTGGAAGCTAAAAACCCCGAAAATTTGATGAAAAACGGTCTAAAATGACCCGAAATCTGTCAAAAATTCCCAATTTTTTCCAGGTGACCGGCGAGAGAGACATGGTCACATCTCTCCGACTCTCGATTCGCGAAGACCTGAGCAATGTGGAAAAGATGCGTCGAGAACTCGAAATGAATGGATTCCAACGGCCGGCAGACATAAAGGACGGATCGATTGCGCTCAGAAGACGCCTTCAGGCAGAGGTCAAGGATCTGGAGGAGGAATTCAACAGAAGACACGAGGAGCAGAAGGCGTTGATCGAGAAGCTGGAACGATTGAAGACGAGGCTCGCGTCGGAGTTCCAGTTTGAGCATGATCTGCACTCGGTGAGTACGAGCAGATGACGTCGGAGGGATTTTGACGTCTTCTAGAGTTAAGAATCCACTAGACAGTTTCATCAGCATCCTGACGTCTTCTGAAGGGTTCTAGACGTTATCTAGGGTTTTCGAAGTCTTCTAGAAGCTGCTAGAATCTCGTTGACGACTTCTAGAGTGTTCAGAAGACGTCAGAATGATTTTTGAGCTTCTAGAAGGTCACCAGAACGAAGGGACGTCTTCAGAACAGCTCAAAATGCGTCTGAGGGCTATTTCTACGTCTTTGGAAAGGCTTGAAAAGCTAGATGACGTCTTCTGGTGGATTCTGATGACGCCAGAATAGTTTCGAAGTCTTCAGAAGGTTTTAGAAGACGTCAAGATGAGTCGAACGGCTTCTAGAGAACATTAGGTTTGACTGACGTCTTCTGAAGGATTCTGAGTCTTTTCTACGTCTTGTAAAGGCTCAAGAAGCTAGCTGACGTCTTCTGGTGGCTTCTGATGACGTCAGAATCATTTTGAAGCCTTCAGAAGATTCTAAAGAACGTCAGATGGCTCCAGAAGGCGTCAGAATGAGTCTAACGGCTTCTAGAGAATTTTGGACTTGACTGACGCCTTCTAAAGGCTCGAGAAGCTAGCTGACATCTTCTGAAGACGTCCACTAGCTTTTTGAATCTTTAAAACTTCTGAATTTTCAGCTATTCCCTGTATCCGCCTTCCAACAATACACCTCCACAGCCAACGAAATGGAAGAGGATCTGAGTCAACGATGGAAGCAAGTCGATCTGCTCCAAACCGAAATTCGCCAATGGCGCGAAATGGCAAGCCACGTGGCACAACAAATCGACGGAGACGACGAGCTGAGAAGTCTTCTGGAGACGAACATCGACTCGGATGTGTTCGTGTTCTCCAGACAGATTGTGGACGATTTGAAGGCTTACCATCAGGAGTTGAAGCCTCTCTACGACCAATGGCTAGAAGAAATCGAGTTCCGCTGGACAGAGCAATACGAGTTGCTGGCGGATCTATGGGAGAAGTGCATGATTCCGCACGACCAGCGACACTATTCGGCGGTCTTCGAGCCCGCGAAAAACTCAGAAGACGTGCTCTCCAGAATGCAGGCGGAACGAGAGCGTCTCGAGGCAAAGTACGCGTCGTGCAAGGGAATCTACGACCTGGTCGAAAAATGGAAGACGGCGTGGAACGAGAGACTGGAGATCGAGGAGAGACGCAGACAGCCGGACTACTACAAGAAGACGAATGTGCTGCCGGATAACAAGAGAGATCGAGAGCTGGGCGTGAGGATGAACGCGTTGGATAAGGAGATTGCGTCGGCGTATCGACGACATCTCAAGGAGAATCCAGACGATGTGATTAGGATTCACGGCAAGGAGCCTTCGATGTACATCGCGTCGGTGGAGGAGGAGCATCAACAGGAGATCAAGTTCCTGCTACAAGTAAGCGATTATTGCTAAACATTCGAGTTAGAAGAGGCTTTAAATGGTCTTAAAATAGTCTGAAGTGGCCCTAAACTGGTCTAAAATTATTCAAAAGTGCTCTAAAAGTTTTAGAAGATCAGTTTAGGACCATTTTTGAGAAATTTTGGATGATTTTCGACCATTTTAGACTATTTTTTGGATCATTTTAGACCATTTTTGAATAATTTTAGACCATTCTAGGACCGTTTTAGACAAGTTTTGGGTGGTTTTAGGCTATTCTAGGACTATTTTAGACAAGTTTTGGGTGATTTTAGGTCATGTTTAGATGGTTTTAGACCATTCTAGGACCATTTTGTGGATGCTTTTAAGCCATTCTAGGACCATTTTAGACTATTTTAGGATCATTTTTGACCTATTTTTGGATCATTTTAGACCAGACTAAAATGATCTAAAAATTGTCTAAAATCAGCTAAAAACCTCAATTTTCCCCCAATTTTCAGCTGAAAAAGGAGGAAAAGACGCGTCTCCAATCGCCGACACCATCAAGAACACCACGAACGGCGCAAAAGCGTACGATCTTCAAAACGCCAGCCTCGTCGACGAAAACGGAGCCAGTTGCCAAGGTGAGACCTACCTATTTTTTGGACCCGAAAAATTAAATTTTTGGTATCTTAGAAGTCAATTTAAACCTTTTTATTATTAAAAAACCCCTCAAAAATTGTCTGAAAAACAATTTTAAAAGTTTTCAGAGGCTCCACTTCGAGGGAGAGCTCCCGCCGTGTATGTCGCCAGCCACATCAGAAATGATCAGCTTCATCACGCCCACGCGTCGTCAACTGGCCGGTCCCAAGACCTCGTCACCAAAAGAGACCATCACCCCGTCAAGAACCACGACCCCACTGTCAAAACGCGCGGCGACACCGTCCTCAATGGCTTCTGGCGCATCGTCATCCCATAAACCGTTGACGAGACGGAATTTCTAAACTTCTGTACAATACAATTTTTATTCAAAAAGCCGCTATTGGCCTTCCAGTGTACAATTCCCCTCACTCATCGCCCCATTTTGCTTTTTGTGCGTTGACCTGAATTTCTGCACAATATCATAATGAAAAATAGCATTCTATTTCCCTCTCTTACTGAAAAATATGATTTACTCATTTAATGAATTCTTGATTGGTTCTTGTTACATTATCATCATTTTCAGGCAAAAAGAAACCAAAAATTCGAAAAATTGTGTACAGCGATTATGCGCAGGGTTTTGAAGTTTTCATGATATTTTGCAAGGTTCAGACAATTTTCGTGAATTTTTCCAAACTTTTTTCACTAGAAATGTTCAATTTTAGCTTCATTTCAGACAAAAATCCAGATTTTCATCCCAAAAAAAAATCCCCAAACGACACTCCGAAATCCCGCATGCGCGCGTTGTTTACCGTAAATCTACACAAGTTTCGTGTAGTCCTCTCGGACAATGCTAGAGGAAATTCCGCCTATTTTCATGAAAAAATTGAAATAGAACGGATTTTTCTAGGGGCTTCGAAGAAATTCTGGTATTTTGAGCTAAAAATAGCGAAAAAAAATGGTTAAAAATAATGTAAACGAGAGATCTTATAGCTAAATGGCCAGATTCTCGTCAGATTCTCAAAAAACTAAAAAAGGTTTTTCTCAGGTTTAAGACTAATTTTCAAGATGAATATATATTTTTTAATGCTGCGAATCTCGATTTTGCACTATAAAATTCCATCTTTTTCGCATATTTCTCGCATATTTTCAAATTTTCTCCGGTTTTTCAGCAATGAGTGCCGCTCAATATGCTAGACTTGTGCCAAAAAAGTATCGGTCGAGGACGCTGCCCAAAATCGACCGCCCATGGCGGCCACGTGTCATCGCATGGGCCGGACCGGCCGCTTTCTACCCAAATAGGTCTGTGAAATTGGTTTTGAAGCCTAAAAATAGCAAAAAGCGCTCGTTTTTAGATTCTACGAAATCGATAAATGGTACAAGGCGCGTATCGATAAGCCGGAGAAGCTTCCAGAAATGCACGTCATCGATCCGGCGAACCATATGCGATCGTTGAGCGAATTGATGAAGAAACGTAGGGTTTTCGTGGCTGAAAATGCGTATAATGACTGAAAAACCGAAATTTTTCAGCAGAAATCGATCAAATCGACATCGGATTCAAGAAGCGTGAGGAGGTTGTAAAGGCTGAGAAATCAGCAGAGGATCGTGTGGAATTGGAGAGAAAATCCAGGCATATGCAGTGTTAGTAAAACAAAAATGGACTTGAAAATCGTGATTTTAAGCATTGAAAATGGCTGAAAACTCGAATTTTCTTCTCAAAAATCTGTTTAACGGCTTCAAGAGAATCCTGAAGACGTCAGAGGGCTTCTGAAGGCTTTAGAATTTAGCTAACGTCAACTGAAAGGTTTAGAAGATGTCAGAAACACCTTGTAGTCTTCATAAAGCTCTAGAATGCTTCAAGGACCGTAGGAGTGTTCCAGAAGACGTCAGAACGATTCTAAGAGCCTCAGAATTGTTCTGACAGCTTCTAGAGAATTCCCAAAACGTCAGACAAATTCTGAAGGCTCGAGAGTTTCAGACTTCTTCTGGAGGGTTCAGAAGGCGTCAGCGTTGTTTTAAAGTGTTAAGAGAGCTCTAGAAGGCTTCTATGACCGTCAGAGTGCTTCAGAAGACGTCAGAGGGATTCTGAAGGTTTTAGAATCTAGCTGACGCCTTCTAGGGGTTCAGAAGACGTCAGATTAATTTTTAAGTCTCTAGAAGGCTCAAGAAGGCTAAAAAGACCGAGAACGTGCTCCAAAAGGCTTCAAAATAGTTCAGGCGTCTTCTAAAGCTTTAAAATTGGTCTGACGACTTCTAGAGGATTCTGAAGGCTTGAGAGTTCAGCTGACGTCATTTGCGGTCTTCAGAAGATTTCAGAAGGATTCTGGATATTTGAAAATCTAGCAGACGTCTCCGGATGGCTTCAGAAGTCGTCAATTGTTTTTTTTTAGAAATTTAGCACGTTCCCGCCCATTTTTAGGTCAAAAACAATGATTTTCAAGTGATTTTCAGACTTTTCCACACCCAAAACCTTCAATTTCAACCTAAGATTTCAGTGAAAATCGACATATCCTCATTGGCCTCTGAAAATCTGCAAGTCTATCGTCACTTCCGCGTCTTCGACGATCTTTTCGGCGAGAACGTCTTCTTTGAAAACGTCCAAAAACTCGACGTCGCCTTCCAAGACCATCATTTGGTTCATTCTGGAAACATTCTGACGGCTGAAACTACAGTAATCGCACCGGAAGTTTCAATTGAATCGGTTGGAAAAGGCAAAGGATTCAATACGATTTTGATGGTGAATTTGGATGGAAATGCAACGGAAAAGCGCGGAGAATTGATTCATTGGCTCATTTCGAATATTCCAGATGGAGAGGGAATTCAGAAGGGAGAGGAAGTGATGAAATATCTACAACCTCTTCCGTTCTATGGCACTGGATATCATCGTGTGGCTTTTGTACTGTTTAGACATCAAGAAAAGGTGGATTTCAAGATTGGAGGAGGGTGAGGATTTGATTAACTAGTTTAGCACTGGAAAATTCTTTAAAAAATGGACTATTTTTGAGTTGAAATCGGTGAAAATCGCTTAGAAAACGGTCATTTTTCATAGATTTAGATTGAAAAATTGCTTAAAAATAATCTGTTTTTGTGGAATTTAGCACTGAAAAGTTCTGAATAATGGTCTATTTTTTTTTCCATGATTTTAGAGTTTGAAATTGCTGAAAAAGTGGTCAATTTTTTAAAAAAATTGGGGCAGAAAAATGCTTAACAATTAGCCTTTTTCATGGATTTCACAGTAAAAAAAAGATCGTTTTTAACGAATTAAAATGCCAAATTTGCTCAAAAATGATCCTTTTTTTGAGGAATTTAGAACTGCAAAGTTCTGAAAAATAGACTATTTTTGACAAATTTAAGTGCAAAAATTGCTTTAAAATAATCATTTTTTAAAGATTTAGCACTGGAAAGTTCTGAAAAATGGACTATTTTTTTTCATAATTTTAGAGTTGAAAATGCTGGAAAAGTTCTCGGTTTTTGAGAAATTAGGGCCTGAAATTTGCTAAATATGGTCCACTTTTGCGGCTGAAAAAAATGGTCGATTTTTGACGAATTTGGGCCAAAAATTTTCTGTAAAATTGTCGAAAAAAGGTTCATTTTCAGCCAATTTCTTGAATAAAAATCGAGATATTTCAAAAAAATCAAATGTCCAAATCGCTCAAAAAGATGATTTTAGAGTTTAGAACTGCTGAAAAAGTGCTCGATTTTTGAGAAATTTGGCCCTAAAAATGCTGCAAAATCGGCATTTTTAATGGATTTCACTGTAAAAATCGCTCAAAAAGGATGATTTTTGATAAATTTTAGTGCAAAAATTGCTTTAAAATAATCATTTTTAAAGATTTAGCGCTGAAAAATGCTGAGAAATGGACCGATTCTTTATTATTTTAGAGTCTGAAATTGCTGGAAAAATGGCCATTTTTGACGAATTTCAACGGCTTGAAATTGTTCGAAAATAATCAGTTTGTTAGAAAATTAGCATTGGAATCACTAAAAAAGACAATTTTTTCATGATCTCAGAGTTTAAGATTCTGAAAAAAAGGCTATTTTCGACGGATCTAGGTGCCGAAATTGCTTTAAAAATAATCCGTTTTTGTGGAATTTAGCGCTGAAAAGTTCTGAAAAATGGCCCAATTTTTTCTTAGTTTTATAGTTAAAATTGCTAAAAAGCTGTCGATTTTTGAGATATTAAGGTCTGAAAATCGCTCTAAAATTGTCCATTTTCGGTGGATCTCAATAGCTTAAAATGAACCGATTTTCAATAAAATAGCTAAAAAGCTGTCGATTTTTGAGGAATTTGGGTCTTGAAATGCCTAAAAATAAGCCTATTTTCATGTATTTCACTTTAAAAATCGCTGAAAAACTATCACTTTTTGCCGAATTTTGAATTATTTTAGCATTGAAAATTGCTTCAAAATGGTCCATTTTCAGCAATTTTGATGTTCAAAATCTCTGAAAATTATTATAAAATTGTCCATTTTTTGATGGATTTCATTTTAAAAATAGCTTAAAATTATAATTTTAGCACTGAAAGTAGACAAATTTTTGACCAAAATTTTCAAAATTTCCAGATCCAGTCTGGAAGAACGCGTTCACTCGATTTCGGATCTCTACAAATCCCATGAATCCCAATTAACACCATCGGCGATTCGATTCTTCCAAACGTCCTACGATAAAAGTGTCAAAACAACGCTTCATTCGCTTGGTAAGGCTGAAAAAGCGCTGAAATTTTAATTTTTTGACTGAAAATCGACAAAAAAATGGTCCAAAAAATGCTGCAATCATTCGAAACTTTGAAAAAAAAGTCACAAAAATTCAATTTTGAATTAAAAATCAGGTTTTTTTTAATCTGAAATTCTTATCTTTGGGTCAATTTTGAGGTCATTTTCGAGGTCATTTTCAACCTAAAAATCTGGATTTTCAGCTCATTTTTGGCCTCAAAAACTCAGATTTTCTGTATTTTCAGGCCTAAAATCGCCACTGTACGAGTATGAATATCGTCAAGCGCTGAAGCCGGCTCAACGGGAGTTCCCCGAAAAACCACAACCGTTCGACTTGTATTTGGATATGTATAGAGATCCGAAGGAGGTGGAAAAGGAGATTCTGGAGAAACGACTCGCCGAAGTGAAGCTCGATCATGTTGAGGTGATTTTTTTGGTTAAAAAAACGAAATTTGGCTCAAAAAACCCCCAAAAATCGGGTAAATCGGTCCCATTTTCGCTGAAAAAGTGCGAAATTTGGTGCAGAAAACCCCAAAAAAGGGGGCGGAGCTTCATAAATCGAGGACCCTTTTAAGAGAAAAAAAATTGAAGTGTTTTACCCCAAAAAAAACTGAGAAATCAGTCCCGAGGGCCCTTCTATTAAAGGTTTTAAGACTGAAAACTGAAAAATCGCAACTGATAAATCTGATAAAATATTGGTGATACTATGATAAGCATTTTATCAGTTGACCGATTTTTGATAACTTTTAAAGGAACCGAGATATTTTAAAATACAAAATTTGGTTCAGAAAATCCGAGAATTGTGAATTTTCAGCCTAAAAACCTCGTATTCTGTCCTAATTTTTGCTCGAAAAATGTGATTTGTAGTTTGAAATTTTGGATCAAAAATGACCAATTTTGCACTGAAAATGACCAATTTTGAATCAAAAATGACGAATTTTGAGTCAAAAATGACCAATTTTGAGTCGAAAATTGCCTTTTTAGGTCAAAATCTGTTAATTTCATGCTAAAATTGATAAATTTAACTCAAAAATCATAAATTCTCACCTATGTTTTCGAGCCTAACTCGGCCTGATTCCGGCTCGAGAACTGCCTAATTTTCCAAATTTGAGCGCAAAAAAGTCGGTTTTGGACTAATTTTTCCCCTTTAAAAGTGCAATTTTCGGCTTAAAATTCATGATTCTCAGCCTAATTTGGCCTAGAATGGCCTAATTTCGAAAATTCAAATTTTCCAGGAACCCGAATGGATCGATCCAAATTGGGTGGAGAACAAGAAGACGTTGCCAGCGTGGCAACACGATCGAATTCTGGAGCGTCGAGGCGTCGGAAATGCCAAATATCATAATGATCTGTAGATTCCTTGTTTTTTGATCTATTTTTATTGATTTATTGATTGACCGAAATTGATTTTTTTAAATTAGAGACGATTTTTTGTTGTTAAAAATTGGTTTTTCATAGTTGTAGATTTTCGTATGTTTAAGCTACCATTTTATTCTTTCTAATTGTTTTTTTTTCTCTGCTTTTTTTTTGTTGATCTTGCACCTCTTTTTCTGATTAAATTACTGAAAGAAACTTGAAGTTTTTAGGATTTTGGAAAACCCGAAAATTGAGAACTCAAAAAAATTTTTATTTTCTAAACTTTGATTGTTTCATAACTGTCAAAAATTGAGGATTCTGAAAATATAATTTTCATAAAATTGAGCTGAAACTAACAAAGTTATGGGGGTTTTTGTGAAAGTCCTTTTTTTGGCTCAAAAAATTTTGAAGCCAATTTTAGAAACTCCATAACTTCCTTCGTTTTCGACTGTTTTCGATGATTTTACTATCAAAATGTGGGGAATTTTTAGAATTTTAAGAATCTCGGAAACTCAGATTTCTGAAAATAGAGTTTAAATAAGAATTAGACAAAAACCAACAAAGTTATGGAGATTTTTAGTAAAAGTAATTTTTTAGATCCAAAAATTTTGTGAAGCCAATTTTCATATCTCCATAACTTTATTCATATTCGATGGTTTTTGATGGTTTTACTATCAAAATGTGTGTAATTTCAATAACTTTAAGAAAACTTCTCATTAGCTCGAATTACGTTTATATTCTTCAATTTTATTATATTCTTCAAATTCTACGACGTTCTGGAAGTGTCCACTGCTTTTTCTAAAGGAACGTGCTTGAGGATACCTAAAATGTAAGCACGAAAATTGGCAAAAAATGAGGATTCCAAAAATATGGTTTTCATAAAAATTGGACAAAAACTAACAAAGTTATGGGAGTTTTTATAAAAGTCATTTTTTTTGCCCAAAAACACATTTTTAGCCAATTTTAGAATTTCCATAACTTCATTCATTTTCGATGGTTCTCGATAAATTTTTTATCAAAATGTGCGGAATTTCAAAAAATTCGAAAATTAACTATTTATTAGTTCAATTTAACATTTTTTCAATTGCTGACAAACAGTTTTTGGAGGGTATTAGAATCACAATATATTGACGCTTTAGGAGTGCCCGCTGATTGTTGTCAATAGAGCTTGAGGAAACCGGAAATGCAAAAAAAAAGTGTAAGCATGAAAATTGGCAAAAACTGGGATTCTAAAAATGTGATTTTCATAAAAATTGGACAAAAACTAACAAAGTTTTTGTAAAATTGGTTTTTTGGCTCCAAACATTTTTGAAGCCAATTTTAGAATCCCATAACTTTAAATAATTTTAATGTTTTTTTATGATTTTACTATCAAAATGTGGGGAATTTCAAGAATTTTAAGAACACACTATTTATTAGTTCAATTTAACATTTCTTCAATTGTTGACAACTGGTTTTCGGAGAGTAACGAAATATTGACGTTTCCGGCGTGTCCACTGCTTTTTCTCAATAGAGCGCGCTTGAAAAAACCTGAAATTTGAAAAAAATTTAAGCATGAAAATTGGCAAAAACTGAGGATTCTGAAAATAAAAATTTCATGAAAATCGAACGAAAACTAACAAAGTTATGGTGATTTTTGTGAAAGCCAGGTTTTGTGGCTAGAAATGTTTGGAATCGAATTTTAGAATCCCAATGACTTCAATTATTTTTAATGGTTTTCAATGATTTTACTATCAAAATGTGACAAATAGTTTTTGGAGGGTCCTAGAATAAGGAAACAATACCGTTTCCGGAGTGCCTTCTGCTTTTTCTCAATAGAGCGCGCTTGAGAAAACCTGATTTTTAGATAATATGTAAGCATAACAATTCCTAAAAACTGAGTGTCTTAAAAACATAGAGTTCATGAATATCGAAAGATAACTAACAAAGTTATGGGATTTTTTATAAAACTCATTTTTTTCGCCCAAAAGAAAATTGTAGCCAATTTTAGAATCGCCATAACTTTATTTAATTTGGTTTTTGATGATTTTACTATCAAAGTGTGGGGAATTTCAAGAACTTCAAGAACACACTATTTATTAGCTCAATTTAACATTTCTTCAATTGTTGACAACTGTTTTTTCGGAGAGTAACGAAATATTGACGTTTCCGGAGTGTCCACTGCTTTTTCTCAATAGAGCGCGCTTGAGAAAACCTGATTTTTAGATAATATGTAAGCATAAAAATGAGCAAAAACTGAGGATTCTAAAAATATAAATTTCATGAAAATCGAACAAAAACTAACAAAGTTATGGGGGTTTTTGAAAACGTCGATTTTTGGCCTAAAAATTTTTTTGAATCCAATTTTAAAATTACCATAATTGTATTTATTTTTGATGGTTTTTTATGATTCTACTATCAAAATGTGGGGGATTTGAAGAGCTTATAATATGTAAGCATAAAAATGAGCAAAAACTGAGAATTCTAAAAATATCAATTTCATAGAAATTGGACAAAAATTGACTATGTTTTGTTGGTTTTCATAAAAGTCATTTTTTTTCGCTAAAAACAATTTTTAGCCAATTTTAGAATCTCAATATCTTCATTCATTTTCGATGGTTCTCGATAAGTTTTTTATCAAAATGTGCTTAACTTAAATAAATTTTTTAATTTTTTAATTTTTCAATTAAATAAATTTTTTAATTGCTGACAAATGATTTTCGAAGGGTATTAGAATTACGATATATTAGCGCTTTGGGAGTGCCCGCTGATTGTTGTCAATAGAGCGCGTTTGGAAAACTCTGGTTTTTAGAAAATATGTGAGCATGAAATTAAGCAAAAACTGGAGATTCTGAAAATATGATTTTCATGGCAATTGAACAAAAACTAACAAAGTTATGGTGATTTTTGTAAAATGCCTTTTTTTTGGCTCAAAAATTTTGTGAAGCCAATTTTAGAATCTCCATAATTTTATTCATTTTCAATGGTTTTCAATGTTTTTTATATGAAAATGTGTGAAAATTCAAGAGTTATAAGAATTAACTATTTATTATCTCAATTTAACATTTCTTCAATTGCTGACAAATGGTTTTTGGTGGCACATCCTTCTTGATCAAGTCGATAATCACTTCAACCTCATCATCTCCATATTCCTCGCAAGATGCTTCGGCAGCTGGAGTTGGTGCTTCTTTCAGGCACAACGCCTTCACTTCATGCTTTGCCACGTCATCTCCTTCATTCAAAACACGTGGCTCCAATCCTTTGACAGTGGCAATACAGGTCAAACAAGCCAATGTGGCTTGGGATGGAGGCGCGACGAATGCGTGCGTGGCGATGAGGACGGAGAGAAGGACCAGGAGAGACGGGCGGTGCATTCTGGAAAATGTAGTTTCTAGTCTGGTGGAAAGGGGAGAAATTGGGGATTCTAAAAATATAAAATTCGAGAAAATCGGATGAAAATTGATCGAGTTATAAGGGTTTTTAATAAGAGTCGTTGATTTTTGGATATTTAGGAAATTTAGCAATAGAGCGCGCTTGATGAATAGCAAATTAATAGGTTCTTGTATTTTTTGTAGTTGTGTAGATATGAGAATTCCAAAAATATAAGTTTCTAAAAAATCAGATAACAACTAGCAGAGTTACGGGTGCTTAAATCCACTAGCTTTTACGAATTTTCAACGTTCCTAGAGGTAATTGCATTGGAGCGCGTTTTTCACCCCGATTCTTGAGGAGTATTTATATTTTTTGAAATCAACAAATAATGAGGATTCTAAAAATACAATTTTCACAAAAATTGAACCACATCTGACTGAGAGACGGCAATTTTTCTGAAAGTCTTAAAATTATAACTTTCAAAAAAAATTGTTTTTTGAGTTTTTCATCCAAATCGCTAAGTTTTGAGAATTTAAGTGTCAAAATGTGTGAAGTCTTTCTAAAACTGTTTTTTTAAGCAGAAATGTACAGGTTTCGCTCTAAAAAAACCAAAAAAAATCAGTCTAAATGAAGGAGGTACGGTAGCTTCACAAGTTTAGCGATGGGGCGCGTTTGGTTTGGGAAACTCTCATAAGAAATTATGTTTATCAAATAGCTTGAATAATGAAGATTTTAAAAATATAAATTTTATAAGAATCTGCCTGAAAATAACAGAGTTATGGTGGTTTTTGTAAAAGTCGGTTTTTGGCCTTAAAAATGTTTTGAATCCAATTCTAGAATCTCTATAACTTCATTCATTTTCGACGGTTTTCTATGATTTTACTATCAAAACGTAGGAAATTTACAGAGCTTCAAAATACACAATTCATCGTTCTAATTCAAAGTTTCCTCAGTTTTCAAAAAATTAGAAAATACGCTCCATTGAGATAAATTTCAATTTTCGGAAAATTCGAATTTCTAACTTCCTGAAAACGACAAAAAGTTATCGAAACTGATGATAATATTTTAGACTTCCGTTAACTATATAAGACCCGAAAATGGGCGGAGTCAACAGGTACAAAAAATGCTGTTAATCATGCCATCAAATAGTTTTCTTATCACTGAAAATTTCGAAATTTCTTCAATTTTCTAATCGCCTTGGAAATAAATTTCAAAGTTCTTGATGTTTAATTTTTGTACTGATAAGAGAAGAGGAAGACGCAAATCAAAATTTCTTGGAAATTTTCAGGTTTCCGTTTTAATGGAGTTCCGGGAATGCCCCGCTGGTTTTTCTCAATGGAGCGCGATTGAAAAGACCGCAGTTCTCGACATTTTGTGGATGTTATAATATTCAAAAAGTGGGGATTATAAAAATATAATTTTCGTTGAATTTGGACAAAAACTAACAAAGTTATGGGAGTTGTTTTTAATATTGTCTTGTGGGATTCCAGAGTGCCTCGCTGGTTTTTCTCAATGGAGCGCGCTTAAATAATTTTAATTTTATAATATTTTTGATGCAATATAATTTTCAAAACATGAGGATTCTAAAACCATAATTTTCATAAAAATCTGACAAAAACTAACAAAGTTATGGAGATTTTTGTAAAAATGGTTTTTCCTTTCTCAAAATTTTTTTCGAAGCCAATTTTCAAATCTTCATAACTTTACTCATTTTCGATGGTTCTCAATAAGTTTTTTATCGAAATGTGTGAAATTTCAAGAATTTTAAGAATGCATTATCTATTGCCCTATGCAACATTCCTCCAGTTGTTGAATAATGTCTTTTGGAGGGTATAGAAGTAGTTAATTGACGCTTCAGCAGGAGTGTCCGCTGCTTTTTCTCAATGGAGCGCGTTTGAGATATCTCAAAATTTGTAAAATTTGTAATTACTAGAATTCCTGAAAACTGAGAATTCCAAAAATATGATTTTCATAATACAAGAACAAAAACTAACAAAGTTATGAGGGCTTTTGTAAAAGTTGATTTTTTTCATACATGTGCATGGTCGGGCCGGCCCGGCCCGGCCCGGCCCGCTTGCTTCAAAACCCTCGGCCCGCCTAGGACAACTTTTCGAAAATGTTACTTTTCAAATGTGCCAATATATGTTTAATATCACAAATATTGATACAAATGCATACAACCATCCGAAAAAGTCAATTTAATTGAATTTTTAGCAAAAAAAATCAAACTTCATTAAGCCAAGCATGAAATTTTTTTTCTAAAAACGACCTCAAAACAGTTTTTTCGACAGAATCGTCCTCTAGTGTGGATTTTTATTTATTAAGGAGAAAAGCCATCTTGAAAAATGATGATTTGCTCTAAAAGTTCGAAATTTTCAAAAAGCGGGCCGGCCATGTGTAATTTTTTCCGGCCCGGCCCGGCCCGCTTTCAGAAAAATCTCAGCCCGGCCATGGCCCGGCCCGGCCCGCGGGCCGGCCATCTTTTCCACAAGTATGATTTTTTGGCACCGAGAATTTTTCAGCCAAATTTCAAGTTACCCGTAACTTTACTTATTTTCGATGGATTTTGAAGATTGTACAATCAAAATATGTAGAATTTCAACAGCTTTAAGAATGCACTATTTATAAACCCAAATCAACATTTCTTCAATTGCTGACAAATAGTTTTCGGTGGAACTCCAATTTTGACCAAGTAAATTATCACATCAACAGCATCATCTCCATATTCCTCGCAAGATGCTTCGGCAGCTGGAGTTGGTGCTTCTTTGTAGCATAACTGATTCAATTGCTTCTTTGCCACGTCATCGCCTTCATTCAGAATTATTGGTTCCATTGCCTTGACAGTAGCTACGCAGGTCATACAGGCCAAGGTGGCTTGCGATGGAGGCATCACGAAGGCGCGGGTGGAGATGAGGACAGAGACGAGGAGGATGAGGAGAGATGGGCGGTGCATTCTGGAATATAATTAATCGTGAAAAATTGTAAAGAAATGAGATTTCAAAAAATATAAGATTGGGGAAAAGCGGATGAAAACTAATCGAGTTATGAGGGTTTTTGTGAATAGGAGTTGATTTTAGGGAATTTAGAAATTTAGCAATAGAGCGCCCTTGATGAACAGTAACTTGATAGGTTCTTGTATTTTTTTTTAATTGTCTGGTAATGATGTTTCCAAACATATCAAATTCCAAAAAATCGAATGTAAACCAAGAGAGTTATGATAGTTTTTGATAGTAGTACTTGATTCCAGAAATATTTGCAATAGAGCGCGTTTGACAAGAGTTCAACTATTATGTTCTTATAATTTTTTGCACTTGGCAAAATGTGAGAATTCTAAAAATATAAGAATCGGAAAAATCGGATAAGAATCGACCGAGATATGATGGATTTTCTAAAACTTATGGTCAAAAATTTCAAAGAAATGTAATTAAATTTTTTTCCTATTTTTCGAAAACTAAGAAATCATAGAATTTGGCTTAACTTGCTTCACATTTATACCCACTTTCAAAGTCACAAAATTCTTGGAAAAGAGGGCGGAGCTTCCGGGAAAACCCGGATCCCGGATCCTTCAAAAAAGTTCTTATCTGTTTCAGAAAAAGGATTAAAAATAAATAGTTTGATCGAGAAATGAAGTGTAGCGCTACACAGAAAAATATGATTGACGACAGCAAACATTTTTCCAGGTTTTTGATCATTTATAGTTCTACACGAACTATGTAGTCTAGATTGGGGTTCCTAGAGTGACCCTGTCTTTTTTTCAGTGGAGCGCGCTTGAGAAAATATTATCTGTGTGAATTTATTTTAAAAAAACTGAGGATTCGAAAAATATAATTTTCGAGAAAATCGGAGAAAAACTAACAGAGTTATGTAAGTTTTTGCGATAAACTTTTTTTTGGCCAAAAAATTTTTGAGGCTAATTTTCAAATCCCTATAACTTTATCAATTTTTCATGGTTTTGAATGGTTTTACTATCAAAATGTGAGAAATTTCAAGAGCTTTGTGAGTAATTGCAATTCAAAAAAATACTTTCTACAACAGTTTTCAGGAGATACTTGAACTACAAAACATTGGTTCAGAAGTGCCCCTTGTTTGTTCTCGATAGAGCGCGGTTGAGAAAACCAAACTTTAAAAACAATTTTATGAAAAACAATTGCCAACAACTGAGAATTCAAAAAATATAATTTTCTTGAAAATTGGACAAAAACTAACAGAGTTATGGTGATTTTTAAAAAAGTAGTTTTTTTGGTTTAAAAAATTTTTGAAGCCAATTTTCATATCTCCATAACTTTATTCATTTTTGATGGTTTTTGATGATTTTACTATCAAAATGTGGGAAATTTTAAGGACTTTAAGAAAATAACAAATTTATGTGTAATGCCAATTCAAAAAATCTTTCTAGAAACAGTTTTCAGGGGATACTTGAACTACAAAACTTTGGTTCAGAAGTGCCCCCTGTTAAGTTAAGAATTCAAAATTTTCATATACCCAAAATAAAATGTGCCAAAAAAAGTTTCAGAAAGTGGCAAATTTAGCATTTGTTCAATTCTTGGCAAATCATCTTTGGTGGGACATCCTTCTTGATCAATGCGACCATAACATCGACTTCATGCTCTCCGTAGTCCTCGCAAAGATGTTCAGCAGAGTGGGTTGGCACTTCTGGAAGAGGAAATTTATTGAAAATCGAGGGCCTAGCTTTTTCTAGGCCATTAAAAACTAGTAGTGGTCTAGTTAGCAGGTTTGTTAGTTGCCTTTAAAAAGAGACGCTGACCTAGATTTGGGAAAAATCTCAAAATCAAGATTTCTAAATTTTGAGAACTGATCTAGAATCCTTAGATTCTCTACTTTCCACATACATACCTTTCAAGCAGATAGCGTCAACATCATTCTTTGCCACGTGTCCTCCTTCAGCCAACATCTTGGCTTCGACTCCCTTCACAGTAGCCACGCAGGTGATACAGGCCAATGTGGCTTGGGATGGGGGCACGACAAAGGCCTGGGTGGCGATGAGGACAGAGAGAAGGACCAAGAGAGATGGGCGGTGCATTCTGAAATTATTTCTGTTTAGGGGAGGAAATGAGGATTCTAAGAATATAAGACTTGTAAAAATCGGATGAAACATAGTCGAGTTATGACGGTTTTTGATAATGGTAGGGCGCTTCAGGGAATTCAGCAGTAGAGCGCGTTTGATGAATCGCAAATTTAGGGATTTTTGTGTTTTTTGAAATTATCTAATGATGAGGATTTCAAAAATATAAGTTTCAAAAAAATCAGATGACAACTAACAGAGGTATTGTGGCTCAAAGCCACTTGCTCTTATGAACTTTTGATGTTCGGAGAAGGAGCTGCGTTGAAGTGCGTTTGTCGCTTAGATTTCTGTATTGAATTTATATTTTTGGATTTGTCAATAAATGAGGATTCCAAAAATATAAAAATCACGAAAATCGGATGAGAATTGAGCGAGATATGATGGATTTTCTGAAACTTGAAATTTTCGAAAAAAAAATTTTCTGAAATTTCAATGTTTTCTAGGTGAATTCCTTTTCCAAAGTGGTTCCAAAATTTCAGCAAATTTTCTCGTGAAATTCAAAAAAAAAATAAAATCTAGGTGGACAAGAAATGTCCACTTGGCTTCATCAATCCAGCAGAAATTCAGTGTTTCGTTTGAAAAGTTGAAAAAATACGAAACTTAAAAATAGGACTTTTTGAAAGATGAGGCTTCTTGTTATTATGGTAAACTTCTGAATCTCAAGAATTCTCGAGAATTCAAATTTCACAAAATTTCAGCTAATCATCAATTTCATCATCTTGGCTTCAACTGCTGGAGTCTACGATTTCGAGGCTCGTCGAACCGAACGTTTCGAATGTTTCGATGACTCGGACTGCACAAATGGACAAAAATGCAACGGCTACAAATGCAAATAATCAGAATCCTCTGAATTTTTTCTTTCGAAAAATAAATATTTTTTAATATCGTCCCTTTTTTGCTCTAACTGGTCAATTTTAGGTGACTGGAAATATAGCTCATATTACTCAGATCTTTTTGAAATTTGACCAACGTACTAAACAAACATAGAGCTTTATTTTTGTAGTTGACAACTTTTTTGTGCAAACGCGCCCTAATGAGATAAGCTTGTTTTTCTAAGCCCCTCTCCTTGCTGGCGGAAAGGACCGCAGTTGATAGCTGCGCGCTGCCACGTAGCATATCTTGTTAGAGCGCATTTGCACAAAAATATTGTCAATTACAAAAATGAAGCTCTAGTTTTGCTTAGTACACTCACAAAGTTTCAAGGCAATTGGACAAGTCCTAACCTGTTTTTTCAATCCTCAAATTTCATTATTAGGTTGAAAGGTGAGAAAGTTTGGCAATTACAACTCCTTGAACGCTTATTTCATAATAGTCAGATCAATCTGAACTTTTATGAGTGTACTAAACAAACATAGAGCTTTTTTTTGTAGTTGACCACTTTTTTTTTATAAAAATAGGTCCTGAAGAGATATTTGACGTTGAAGGGACTCTCTACACGTTCACGCTTATATCACGAGCGACGGGCTGCCGACAGTTGTAATCACACTTCCACGAGGCATATCTCCTCAGGACCTAATTTTACAAAAAAGTTGACAACTACAAAAATGAAGATCTACTTTTGTTTAGTATACCCACAAAATTTCAAGGCGATTGGATAAATTCTAACCTATTTTTTTAATCCTCAAAGTTCATTAATTAGGTTGAAAAGTGAGAAAGTTGGACAACTACATAGATACCCCTGTATATCTAGCTCAAATCAGTCGGATCTTTTTAAAATTTATCAAATAATACTAAACAAACATAGAGCTTCAGTTTTGTAGTTGACCACTTTAAAAAAAATAGGTCCTGACGAGATATAGCGCATAGAAGCGTCGTAACTCTCTCTATACGGAGGGATCGGGAGGAGGCTGCGGCACGAGGTGCGCATCTGAAAGCTGCGCGCTGCCACGTGGCATATATTTTCAGGACCTAATTTTACAAAAAAGTTGTCAACAGCAAAATTGAAGCCCTATTTTTATACTCCCAGAATCTCAGAGCAAGTGGACTAATCCTAATCTATTTTGTAATCTCTCAAAGTTGACTAACTTTCACTGAAAATCGACAAGAATTGAAAAAAGTTTTGAGGGGAGAGGAGTACTGTAGGGACAAAAAAAGAAAATTGAATTTCTGATACTCTCCTTCCTATCTGCTGCTTCCCTTTTATAGTGCACTTCGCAATGATCGTATGATCCGGAAAATTTCATCGAAACGCTTCTTATCTCCCATAATGTTGAAACTTTTTTTTGTTTGAGACTTTGACTCTTTGAGACCAACTTGATTGACGCCTATCTTCTTATCAGCTGGAAACAGAGAACAATTCTTTTAGTCTCGCAAATCAAAAAAGGAAAAGGTGGAATGATTTTTGAAACTTTGGACAGTCGAAATGAGGAAGTGGAAGGGGAGCTGAATGAGCTATAAACCGTATTCTACTGATTCATATGGAAGTCAAAATCGAAATGTCGCATCCGTATTCGAGTTGGGCATTTCCCTACAGAGAAAAGTGGGCGGGGCCTGTCCCACCTGGTGGTCCGAAATTGCGGAAGTTTGATGGGATCTCCTGTTAACAAACAATGATTGCCGTAAACACTCTAATAGAACGCCACTCAGACCGTCAACTTTGAGCCCATATTTCCTGTGAAAGATATCAGAAAAAGTCAATTGATAAAATATTGCTGATATTATGATGAACAATTTGT